ACGCTCTTGAAGGTCCACCTCTCATCTGTGTCCAAAATATCACTTGCGAGACGCTTTCATGTCGCAAAGCTCCGGCAACTCAGCACTACTGAGGCCCAAAACACAGAAATACGGTCGCGTCTTTTAATAAGGTTTATTGCGAAGACACCACCTGAGCACCGTCTTAGGACACAAGCTGACGTCGAAGGCAGAAGCAAGTGGTCATCGCTGAAGACATCCGTCTATGGGGCAGTTGAGAAAATTCTCGGATTCACTTAGCGGCGTCGCAGGGACTGCATCAGCCGAAGAACCCTGCAGCTGTCTGCCGAGACGACTCGAACCAGGTCCCGCAATGATGCTTCCTTCCGCCATCTCCGGAAGCTGACAGCAAAGTCGGCTGGAGATGACCGGCAGAAGTATGTGTCAGAAACGGCGAGATCTATGGAGCAGGCTTCAAATGTTGGTGACACTCGAAACATGTACCAAATCATCTCCCAAGTTAGTGATAAGCCCGGACACTGTGATTCTGTTCGCAATGTGAATAGCGGCTTTATTTCCGACAGCTCGGTCAAGGTCGATCGCTGGCGTGAACACACCAAGCACTTCCTCAACTTTGATGCAAAAACCATCACATTCTCCCTTTCCTCCACAGCGGAGTTTCAACGCTCACCAGCCTGCGCAGTGTCGTGTGAACTTTTCGAAGTTGCCGATTCAATGCAGGGGCTGCGCAATAACAAGGCGTGCGGAGAAGACTATATTTCCGCAGAAATCAACAAGTCTTGTGTCGAAATTCTGGCTCACCGGCTTCATGAGATGATTGGACAAGCGTGGCGAGACGAGGCCGTTCCCGATGACTGGGCCTCAGGCACCCTTGTACCTGTATACAAGAAGGGAGATAAGACAACTTGTGGGAACTACCGTGGCATAAGTCTTATTGACGTTGCTGCAAAGATCTTCGCCATTGTTCTTCGCAGTCGGTTCCAGCCTGTACGTGACTCCAGGGCGCGGCCCAACCAGGCCGGATTTCGCACTGGGCATGGATGTGCGGACCAGATATTTACGCTGAGTCGCATTCGGGAATTCCGTTATAGCTACCAGCAACCGACGGCCGTTTGCTTTGTCGACTACCGTGACTCCATGCGGCGAATAATAGAACTAGGTGGAGTACCGAACTAACTCATTGTCATGATAAAGGCCTACTACTGTTCCACAACCGCTCGAGTTCCAGTCCACAAGAACCTCTCTCAACTATTCGATATCCGGTCTCCGATCCGACAGGACTGCGTCCTGTCACCCATTCCGTTTGACTACGTCATTGAACGGATTCCCGGAGAAGCCTTACATGAAGAAGACAGTGTTGAGATTACAGCTGATCTGATCTTAAATACGCTGATGGTATTGCGCAGCTAACCTCAAGCTTTGGTGGTCTACAGTCTAATATCGCGGGTAAATGAGATCGCTATGTCGGTTAGCAAGTCTATAAATTCTGGAAAGACAATGTTGTTCTCGAGCTGCATCCCTCACCAGGAGAAGGCACCTCTGGAGATTAATGGCCATCAACTTAAAGAAGTAGGCAGCTTTAAATACTTCCGGGCGAGGCTGCTACCGAATGGGCAAATTAAGGACGACATTTTCTTCCGCATCGACGCCGCTCGCTGGGTTTTCTCAATCCTTCGAAGGCACCTATGGATCCGACGCGACCTCTCCATCGCCACGAAGAGTCGTGTATACCGTGCATCCATCCGGTAAGTCTTCTACGGATGTGAATGCTGGGCTGTGCGCGCTAAAGATGAACGAAGACTGGAGTTCTCTGAACACCGCTGCATGAGGACCATCCTGCGAGTTAAGTATACTGACTTCATCCCGAATGCGACAGTCTGCATTCGCTGCGATCTTATCGCGAGGATATCTCAAGCCATTCGGGAAGGGCGACTGAGGTGGTTTGTGCACGTTCTCCGTCTTTCGCCCAACGAGCTTTGCTATGCTGCTTTCGATACGGCATCGGAACATCAGGTCATGGTGTGGGAGCCTGCCGCTGTTGACTCACGCTGCCTGCCTTTCTTCGCCGCGC